CCCCCCCCCCCACCTCCCTCACCCCCCCCCACCCCCTTACCTCGTAGGAATGACGGCAGTTGTTCGCGGCGGCTTTGCTGCTGCTGTGGACGCCCTGGAGGAGGCTGCCCTTCTTGCTCTCACCACCTCGCCCTCTCTCCCTACCACCCGTAATGCTCTTGTCTCGGCCGTGGGCAAGGCGTGCTTGCTCCTCTCCACGCCGAGGAGTGTCGGCACGAGCTCTCGTTCCTCGAAAGCCGACGATGTGTGTGAAGAAGTACTGGATGCTCGCCTGGATGCTGTGGCAGATATGGCTGCACTCCTTGTCCAGCTCTTGGCCCTCGATTCCATGCTCGGTGACGAGTACCTGGCCAACGGCGTCATGGAGGCTCTCATTCGCTTGTGTGAGGCCTATCCCCAGGCCCGATCCGCGGTCCTCGACGCCGGCGCTCTGCCTATCCTCGCCCTGCTTGCCGGTGAGGGCCCGCAATCGATCGAGCGTCGTGCCCGCCAGTTGAGCGTGCTCGTTGTCGAGCCGCTGCCCGACATCGAGCCGTCCGACACGGGCTCGGGCCACGAGTGGGCCGGCCTCCTCGCCACAGCCCACGTCATGCGATTTGTATTCCGCCACGTGCCTCTCCACGAGATCTGGAGTGCCCAGAACTGGAGCCCCGAATCAATGGCGGAGGTCGACGCCCCGCACACTATTCCGGCCTTTGTTGATGAGCAAGCCTCCCCGCCCACAGCCGCAAACCGCTGGCTCCGCCTCCCTGCCGGCTTTGTGGTCCACCTGCCATCGTTTCTGCTCGCCGCTGCGGGCAATTTTGGCTCCAACGCAAGTACAGACTCGGCATCGGACAGCGGCTTGTCGGCTGGCGACGAGACCTCGGCGGCTCCGCCACTGGGCTCAAGCGAGGCTCTTGACGACGCCATCAACCGGTCGGCCCGGGCCTCGGTGTACGCGCTCGAGCTCACGCTCGACGATGCTGGCGATGGCGGGCTGCTGAATCCGCGCGGCGCGCGCCTGTGTGGGGCCAGCAAGCGGTTCTCGGTCGCCAACCTCGAGGCCATGCTGAGCCAGGTCGAGGAGGCCGCGTCGGCGGTGACGGCCTCGCGCTCCGACGCCGCTAACCTCGGGACCATCGGTGACTCGGGCTTGTTTGGCTCTTATCTTCGCCACGTCATCGACGACTCGCTGCACCCATCCGAGCTGGAGGCGCTTGTGGAGCAGCTGACTGCGTGCCAGCTGGCGCCTGGTGCTGGGACCGGATTCTTCAACCCGTCGTCGCTCACCTCGTCGTCGCTTGGCCTTGTCCACATGCGCCACGGCGAGCGCCCGTTTGCACTCTCGTCGAGCACACCTGGGCGTCAGCTGGATCTCCGGCTACTCATCCCGTTTCGCGCCGCCCGTCACAAGCCACTGAGCCTTGTTGCGCCGGCCGAGTCTGACGAGCTCCTCAGCGAGCTGAGCGAGAGCTCTGGCTCGCCGCGGCGAAGCTCTGGCGCCTCGTCGCGGCGGAGCTCAGCAGGCGCCCGCGCTTGCGCTGTTCCCGAGGCCGCGCCGCGCTGGCTGCGTGTCGGCTCCGCGCCCGCGGTCATCCTCGCGCGCATTGTCCACGCCAACCCCTCGCTGGTCCTCAACCGCACCGTCCTCGAGCTGGGATCCGGCTGCGGCCTCGTCTCGCTCGTTGCCGCGCACTGCCAGCCGGCGGCACTGGTTGCCACCACGCTTCCCGGCGCTCCGGCCGAGTGGCTCGACGTCAACCTGTATCTTTCGCGACCGACCGATGAAGTTGTAGCCTCACTCCCGCTCGCGTGGGACTCGAGCTCGTGGGCGACCGAGGCTGCTGCTTGGTCGTCGCCGTCGTCAGTCGCCGCCTTTGACCTCGTTCTCGCTGCCGATCCCGTTTACGACGCCCAGACTGGCGCAGGCACGGCTGCTGTCCTCGCCTCACTCCTCACGCCTGGCGGTCTTGCGCTTGTTGTCCATCCGCACCCGAGTACCCGCTACGGACTCGAGGTCTTTCACGCCGCGCTCGCGCGGACCTCGCAGCTCACCCACATCGTCGCCGAGGTCCCGGCCTGGCTCAAAGCGGCTGTCGAGTGCGAGGACGATCCGTACTTTGCCACTTGGGTCTGGCGGAGCCTCGACCCGTAGCTCTCGTCCGTCGCCGCACTCACGCCAGCCGCCCAGCCGCCTTGAGCTCCTCGACCTCCACCTGTAGCGCCGCCAGCTCCTTGGCGCGCTGCTTGGCCAGAAGCTTCTGGTAGTAAGTCCTAGGCCCCGAGCCGGCGCTCCTGGCCTGGGCATTGCTCTGTCGCAGTGGCGGCGCTGCTGTTCCGGTGCTAGTCGAGCTTGTCACGATCGTCGCGCTACTCGAGCTCGCTCCCTGCTCGCCGCTGTTTTCACGGTCCGGACCTCCAGCTGTTGCGCCGCGCCCAGCCCGCCACTGCTGGACCGCTGCCTGGAACTCGGCCGCCGCCGCCTGCTCGTCGTACGAGCCCTGAAGCAGCGGATTGGGTGATGCTGGTGCTGTCGCTGTCGCCGTCGCTGTCGCCGGTACTGTCGCCGTTGTTGTCGCTGTTGCTTCCCCAGCCGAGCCTGTCCGGCCGGCCCGCCACTCACGAACAGCGTCCTGGAAATCTGCCGCTGCTGCGCGTTCGTCGTAACTGCCCTGGAGCAGCGGATGGGTTCCACCTCCTTCCCCAGCCGCGCCTGCCCGCCCGGCCCGCCACTCGCGGACGGCATCCTGAAACTCGGCCGCTGCCGCCTGCTCATCATAGCTCCCGCGCAACAACGGGTTCTCTGCCCCAGGATGGACCGGCGCCGCCATCGGGACCGGCGCCGGCGCCGTCATCGGGACTGGTGCCGGAGCCACCACCGGCCTGGGTGCCGTCACTGGCCACGCATCAAGCGCCTTGAGCAGATCTGATCCAGTCTTCGCTTCCGGTGCCTGCTCCGCCACAGGCTCGGACGCCTGCTCCGCCGCCGCGACATTGTCGTCACTTCCACCCAGCGGTGCCCACGTCTTGTTTGCCCCATACAGAGTCGAGACCTTGCTCTTCCCTGTGCCCTTCCCCTTCCCGACTGCCTTCCCGCGCTGCATCCGCTTCGCCGCATCCGCCCGCACCACCTCGCCATGGGCGCCAAGTGGACCATGCTTGGAGCCATGGCGCCAGATCGAGTCGACCGTCCCCCGCGGCGCCTCAGACGCTCGCTCCAGCGCCGCCTGGCTCCTCCGGACCCGCTCCTCCTTGTCGCGCGCCAAAGCGTTCCGCAGCGCCGCCAACCGCTCCTCCATGGCCTTGGCCTCTTCGGCCAGACGCTCCGACTCGCGCAGCATAGTCCCCGACGGCACCGTCTCGTTGCTGGAGCCTCCGCGGCTGAGCCCTCCTGAAGGTCCCCGCCGCGTGGTGCCTCTGTTGCGTCCAGCCATGTGCCTGCCGTCAAGTGCCACGCCCGCTCTGCCGCCAACTGAGCGAGCACGCGCGCCAATTCTTCCAAACCCGAATTCCTTCGCAAGCCCGAGCCATTCCTTCGCAGGCCCGCACCACCAAAACCTAGCAGAGCGGGGCATTGCTGCCAGTCCATTGCGGTCACACACACCGCCTTCCTCCGCCCAAGCATGTCATCATCCGCTCCATCACTCTCTAGCAGCCGACCGATGGTCAAGCGCGAAGCCCGCGAGACCGACGACGTGCTCGAGGCCAAGTACACCCGTCTTGTCGACGTCGTCGCCAACGCGCGCAACATTGTCTTTCTCACCGGAGCGGGCATCTCGACCTCGGCATCGGTGCCGGACTTTGAGGGCGACTCGGGACTGCGCAAGACAGGCGTGCTCGGTGTGCAGGAACACAAGCTTGACTACGCCATGCCAACGTACGCGCATCGCGCGCTGGCAGCGCTCGCCAGTGCGCCGGATCGCACCCGGGTCAACATGGTTGTCACCTCGAACCACGACAACCTGCACGCTCGCGCCGGCACGCCGCCAACTGCACTTGCTGAGCTCTTTGGCAACGCGTACGTCGAGGACTGCCTCCGGTGCGGCGCTCGCTACCGCCGATCCGTCATTGTGCCGCCGATGAAGCGCCGGTGCGACGACGCCGCGTGCGGCGGACGGCTCAAGCGGCTCGGCGTCCGCTACGGGGAGACTGTGCCGTACGGCCCGCTCAAAGCCGCCTGCGACGCCCTCGCTGTGGCTGACCTCGTCATCGTCCTCGGCTCCTCGCTCCACACGTACATGTTTGAGCATCTGGACCTCGGCCCGCGTATGGTAATCGCCAACCTGCAGCCGACTCCATTCGACGATCAGGCCATCCTCACCTTTGCCGACTACACCGACGCCTTTATGGACCGGCTCATGGCGAGCTGTTTCGGCAACATCGCCGTTCCGACCTATGTCTACACCCAGGCCGCCACGATTCGCATTGACCGCACCTCGCCGGCTGCTGCCCGGGTCGAGCTGCTCGGCGGCGCGCCCAACGAGCCCTTCACCGCCGCTGCCGCCGTTTACGCCGCGCCAAGCGCGGCCGGCCCGTGGACAGAGCTCTCGCGCTCGATGATCACCGGCGTGTGGGCCGGCGAGCTGGCCGTCCCACAAAACGCGCCGCTTGTGCTTCGTGTCGAGCCAAGCCCCGGGTACATCGGCGCTGCTGAGCACGTGTGGACCGTGCCGAGCGGCGACGCCGTCGCCAGCGGTGTCTTTGAGTACACGCCGGCGCAATAAAGCGGAAGGCTACAGCCCGACCTCATCTTCGACTTCTTCGCCGAGATCAACTAGGTCATCAAGCGACCGCTGCTGCGATTGGTAGACATCGAGGTTGTGCTCGAGCGAGGCTGCTAGCTGGAAAAAGTGCGACATCAGCTGCTTGTCGCGGAGCGGGACCGCCAGCGACGGGTAGTACGCGTTGAGGTCGCGGCCATCGGTGAGCGGAAACGGATCGGCGGCACCGAGCAACGAGGCGTGCGATGAGTGCCGCGACGCCGTTCGGTGGGCGAGCGCGCCGGCGGCGGCGCCTGCAGCCGCAGCCGCAGCCGCAGCCGCCAGCGGATCGCCATCGGCCGGGTCGGTGGCGGCGGCGACAGCGGCGCCCGCTGCGCCGCCCTGGACCGCATCAGCAATGGCCGCCCGACGCGCCCGCCGCTTCTTGCGGTAAAACCGCGAGGTAGCCTTGGACGCCTCGGTCAGATTCGAGACAAGGACGGCAATGACGAGGTTGAGGAGGACAAAGGCCTCGAGCACGATAAAAACGAGGAGAAAGATGAGGACCGTCGGGTCGCGGTCCTTGATGGTGTCGTAGAACTCGAACCAGTCGTCGAGCGTGATGAGCTGGAAGAGTGAGAAGAAGGCCCGCCCCAGGGTGCCAAACCGCCGCGGATAGATCTCGCCGTAGAGCGAGCGTCCGATGATGGCAAAGGTGTAGAGGACAAGGCCGAGAATGAGGACCGTCGAGCCGAGCGCAGGAATGGACGACAGCAGCGTCGACACAATGATCTGCAGGTGCTTGAGGAACGAAATCGTCCGCAAGACTCGGAGCGCCCGCAGCGCCCGGAAGGCCCGGAAAATGCGCAGCAGCCGGAAAATGCGCGGGTTGATCGTCGAGAACGAGACGACCAGAAACTGGACGTACTCAAGGTATGAGAGGACCACAATGACCGCGTCGAGCCAGTTCCATCCTGACCGAAAGTACTTGAGTCGGAAGACGTAGAGCTTGAGCAAGAGCTCGAGGGTGTAAATGCCGAGAAAGACCGAGTCGATCATGGCAAAGTACCATGCCGTGGCAAACCGGACCTGCCGCGAGGTCTGCAGCGAGATAATGAGCGTGTTGAGGATAATGACTGCAAAGATCACCGTCTTGAACGCCGTCGACGTCACAATTCGGTGGCAGAACCGTCGCCATGACGAGGCAAAGAGGAAGAACCGCGCACGGTCGGCAACGCCGGCAAACATCGAGTCGGCAGACTCGGCGCCTGCAGACGAGATCGCAGACGCCGCAGACGCCACAGACGACCGCCGGCTCCATGCATCCGATGAGAGCGGATCGGCGCCAAACACTCCTCCGCCACCGCGCGACGAGAACGATCCCTCCGACGAGAGCACCCCGGCGTAGCCCATCCCGCCAGCGCCGCCGCCGCCGCCTGCAGCTCCGCCGCTCACGCCACCGCCTGCCCGCTTGCCTAGCCCGCCCTTTCCAGCCCCGTACATGCCCGCACCAGATCTCGCTGGCCCTCTACGGCTCCGCCCTCCCTCGCCGCCTCTCTCCATGCCCACTGCCGCGTGTGCTGCCCGCGAGCGCGCCATACTCGACCGCTCCTTGGCCCTGGCTTTGGCCCGCCGCCTCGCCGCGTCCTCGGCCTTGTCCTTGGCATACGCCGACCAGGCATCACCCACAGACGAGTTGAACGAGTCTAACGAGTCGGTCGACATCCCTCACAAGGAGCCTCACCTGTCTCTCCTCCCACTCGCGCCGCTCCTTCTCCTTGTCAGAGCGATGTGCCGATGTCTGCCCGCCGCCTGCCCACCTGCCCACCTGCCCAGCCAACCAGCCAACCACCGCCCCCCCCGCCCCACCCTCACCCCTGTCGCATTTGATGGTATGACTGACTCTCAATGGTTCTTAGCTTCCTCAACCTCCCAACGAACGATTCCCAATGGTCGCTCGTTTATGACCTCGTTTCCTCACACACCACTCCATTTCGGTACGTCATGCAACCAACACACCTTGGCCATGTTTTGCCTCTCCATCATATGACCCATACCCTAAACAGCTGCATTCTTGCCTTGCTCCTGGTACCTGCTCTTCTACCCGCATCGTGTTCGCCGTGGCAATACTATACATGCCTCGGTGTGTAGAGTCCCCCCCTCCCTCCCTCCCCCCCGTTCCAACTCGGCGCAGAATTTGGGTGACACGCGTAGCGACAACGCCAGCCACCAAGCGCTGCACCCTTGCACCATCCCGTCAGACGCCGCAGCTCTTCCTCCCCACAGCCTCACACCGCCTTGTGAAAGCCCGTCCTTGCTCGAGCTTATGCACTCGGCTCGTCTGTTGTTTTTCTTGTTGCTACCCAAGCGCTGCGGCGGTTTGTGGAAGCGCCAGGAGCTAGTGTCGCCCCAGCCGCCCCCGCCCCCGTCTCGTCCCCACAACCTTCCACTCGGCGGCATATGGCGTTTTTTTGTCGCAGAGGAAGCCTCCCCCCACCCTTCGGCCGACCCCTCTGAGAGCTCTGCCAACCGCCATGGTGAGCGTATCGTAGCTCCAGTCGCTCAACGGCGGTAACCATCGTGTGACCTACCGTTTCTGCACTCGCTCTGCTCTTTGGTGGTGTCCCTGTGGCCTCGAGTACCCGTTTAGGCGTGCCTGCGACCCCTCGCGACGGGGCCGCTTGTGCGGCAGGAACCAGAATCCTGCGGTCGCCGGCCGCCGGTCGGCCGAGTGGCGCTTGCCAGCCGCCATGGCGTGGAACATTTTGTGTATTGCACCGACCCGCCGCCCTTTTGTGTGGCGACCATGCCTGGAAGGAGGCGGGTGTCGTGCTCTTGCTACCAGTCTCCATCCGCGCCTCAAACAACGCCGTATGCGCCGGCTTGGGCCCCCAAACTGGCTCGTCGAGTCGCCGCCTGTGGCTTGAAAGTGGATGGCATTTTTTTGCCCAAGCCGCCAACTCGCCAACCAACCACCCGATTGTGTCACTCACACCCCCTTCCCCTTCCCAACCACCCACAGGGCGACGAGAAACGATGTCTGGCGACCACGACATGGTGAAGCTGATCTCCTCGGACGGCCACACGATTGAGGTGCCGGAGGACATTGTCCGCAAGTCGCAGACTCTGCAGAACACTCTGGACGACCTTGCCAAGGACCAATTGGAGAACGGCATTCCGCTCGCCAACGTCACCCACGCCATCCTCACCAAGGTTGTCGAGTGGTGCACCCATCACAAGGACGACCCGCCTCCGCCCGAGGACGATGACGCCCGCACCCGCCGCACCGACGACATCACCCCCTGGGATGCCGACTTTTGCAAGGTGGAGCAGACCGTGCTCTTTGAGCTCATCCTCGCCGCCAACTACCTCGACATCAAGGGTCTCCTCGACCTCTGCTGCAAGACCGTGGCCAACATGATCAAGGGCAAGTCGCCGGAGCAGATCCGCCAGACCTTCAACATCAAGAACGACTTTACCCCCGAGGAGGAGGAACAGGTCCGCAAGGAGAACGAGTGGTGCGAGGAGGCCGGCTCCACCGGCAAGTAACTCGCCGGCGCGAGACCGAGCCATCTCTCCACTCTCCCATTTCCCCTCACCCTGCTGCCTCCTGGCCGGCGACCGCGCTCATGGTGAGCGCCCCCTCCCCCCATCCTCCCTAACCCGCCCCAACCCGCCACATCACCCATTCCACACACTTCCCCCTCCCCTCCTCTGCATCCTGGCACCCGCATCAAACGGCTCCTCCAAACCCTCCCCGCACCACCGTCGCTCCTTTTCCCCCTCCCCCTCTGCATACATAATTCGCCATCCCGGTGCAAACACCTCACGTCGCCACCCCCGCTGCTTGGGACCGGGGCCCCTTCCCCACTGCCACCTGAACCCATGACCACCCTCCCACCGCTGGACACTACCCCGCAGCGGCAGCCGCTCTCCCCGCCGCTCTCCTCGCCGCTCCTCACCCCGTCGGCCGTCCTCCCCGTCCTCCTCCCGCATGCTCGCACCCAGCTCGCTGACGAGGCCGACGAACACGCAGCGTCCGCTGGCCAGGGCCCACTCCCGGTCCCGCCCTCCCATCCGGGGCCCTCGCACCCGCCGCTCCCGGCTCACCGCCGCAGGTTCAAAGCCTCGCGCAACATGGCTGTCATCACTGCTCTTGTCGAGCGCGAGGCTGCCCGCGAACGCGCCAGCTGGCCGTCCAAGCCAGCCGGACCGGGCCACTCGGGCGTGACCGCCGCCCCCGCCCCGCCTCCTGCGCTCCCGCCCCCAAAGTCGCGCATTCCGGAAGAGTTCCACCTCTACTCGCCGGTCGAGGACGAGATCAACGCTCTTGGTACCTCCATTCTGGCCTTCCCCACTTCAGCGCCGTCGTCGCGGGCTGAAGTCCTCCACCTCACCTCGGTCCTGGACGCTATGCTCGACCGGCTCCCAAACACAGCAGCAGCCGACCGCCCTCCCTCGGAAGTGTACGCCGAGATGGAGGTGTGGGACATTGTCTTCTCCGAAATCGTCCGCCAGGTCCACGTCCACTGCGCCGAACGCGGCGTCCTCCTCGAGCGCGTTCGCAACCGCTACGTCTCTCTCTTCACAGGCACCTCGTCGCTCCACGCCGCCCTCGAGACCGAGGTCGCCGACCTCCGCAACCGCAATGTTGCCCTCGCCGCCGCTCACGCTGCGCTCGTCTCTGGAGAGGCCGCCCGCGACGCCGCCCGTGCAGCAAAGTACGCCGCTCTCGAAGAGGCCAAAGAGGCCGAGCTCATGCGCACCGAGCTGGCCCTGGCTACTGAGCGCGAGGCCGCTCTCGCGCTTCGCGCCCGGGTCGAAGCCGCTGAAACCTCCCTCGTCCGCATCACTACCACAGAGCCTCCCGAGCTCCGCGCCCTCCGCGCCCAGCTCGCCACGCTCGAGGCCGAGCGCGATGCAAACTTCGACGCGGTTCAGGCCGCCCGTGAAGCTCTCAACAAGCTCAAAGACGAGCTCGCAGATGCCACCGCCCAGCTCGCCGCTGCCGCCGCCGTCAGAGACTCGGCCACCTCCGTGTCTGTCCAGACAGAGGCCGGCTACGTCGACTTTCGCACCCAGCTGCTCTCCGAAGACGACGCCGAAGAGCTCCGCTCTCACATCGCCCGCCTCGTCGCGGACAAAGAAGAGTTTGCCCGTCAGCGCATCCTTTGCGAGAAGGCCGCAGCTTCCGCCGACCCCTCGCGCGCCGGCACGCCCGCCGCAGTTCTCAACGAGGAGCTCGCCGCCCGTGTCGAGGCCATCAACGAGTCCAAAGCGTTCTACCGGCGCACCTTTGACTCGCTCGAGGTCCTCGGTGAGTTTGCCGCACGCGCACGCGCGCGCACCGTCGAGATGGACAAGCCCATGGGCGCCCAGGTTGTTCTTCCGCCCGTCGACGACGTCGATCACGACGCCATCTTGGTCAAGGGCCTCGTCCAGAACGACGACAACTGGCTGCAGCTCTTCGAGCTCGCCCGCTTTGAAGACGTCGACAACATGGATGAGTACATTGTCCAGAAACTGCGCGCCGTCGCCCGCAGGGTCCGCGAAGCCGTCGCCTACGGCGACGGTGAGTCGCCCGAAGACGCCGCCGCCGCCGACATCCTCGGCCCGGAAGGCCCCACGCTCCCTCGGACAGAGTCACTCAAGGACCGCTACCTCTCGCGCCACGCCTCACTCCCACAAGTCGAGACCTCCACTTCCGTGGCTGTCCAGACCCCGCCCGAGATGCTTATGTCGGGCATGGGCGCCATCCTTGCCGCCTCATCGTCGACAGCTTCGCTCCACCCAGCTGCCTCGTCGGGCATGCTGACCACATCCGTCTCCACCGCTGTCCAGTGTTCGCTCATCGCCGCCGAGGACGTCGCCTTTGACAGCGACCACCACGCCCCGCCCCCGCGTCTCCGCAGAGACTTTTCCTTTGCCACCCGCCAGCCGTCAGGCCTCGAACTTGTGCGTGACGCCGCCACCTCTTCGTCGAACACCCACCTCGCCGCATCGTCGTCGCGCGATCTGCCCCGCTTCGCCCGATCCGCCCCAGCCTCGCCCGCCCCTCCGCCGCAGCTCCAACGTGCTGCCTCGGGCGACACCACCATTCACTCGTGGCACGACGACGACGACGACCAGCTGCCGGCCAAGATGACCCAGGCCACCGACGAGCTCGTCGCCACTCTGACGTCCTCAATCATTCCCAGCCTCGCCCAGCTGGCCGAGTCCAAGCCTCCACCACAGCCCGCGACAGCTGCCACGCCTCTATCACCTGAGACATTGCCCGAGACATCGCCCGAGACATCGCCGGCATCGGGCAATGACTCGACACCGCCGTCAAGCCGCATGCAGCTTGCGGTAGCATCCACCCAGCTGCAGCAGCGCCATCGCGAGCTGCTCATGCTCGACCCAAGGAAGACCCAGACGCATACGCCGCAGCTGCCGAGTCGGTCGTCTCATCGGCCCATGCACTACTGACTTCGACGGCGGCCACCGACGTCCGCCAGCTCGGTGACGCCCAGGTTCATGCCCTCCGTGCCAAGGTTGCCAAGGTCTCGTCGCTCGCAGTCCGCGTCCAGCAGTCGGTCTCCGGCGCAGACGCAGTCGGTCTTCGCCCCTCGGCCTCACTTGCTGTTCCTTCGACCACCCGCCGAGCGTCAATGGTCGAACCCGGCTCGCCCACTCACCCCGCGCTCGATCCGCAGCCGCGGCGGTCAAAGTCGCGGACGAGGCTCCGCCGCTCCCGCGGTAGCTCGGACACCAAGGCCTCTTCAAGCGGCTCGCGCAAGTCGCCGGCCCAGCAGCGGCTCGACGCTCGCATGGCGCGGTATGACATTGAGACCGCCGACGTAGCCGTCCTCGCCAAGCCAGCCACCCGTCAGCGCGAGACCCAGACCCGCCGCCTCTCCACATCATCGGCATTGGCGTCGGACAGCGACGCGTCGCTGGCTAGCGACGGCCGCGACTCGACCACGCCGTCCACTGCCAAGTCGGCCGGTAGGAGCCGGACCGTCAACAAGAAGCGGATGCTCGGTCTCGCACGCGACATGGCAACCCAGACGCCGTCTGGCGGCGGCAAGCCCGACAGTGTCTCAGTCTCGGTCCAGTGCCACATCGAGTCTTGGCTCGAGGAAAAGCAGATGATTGCCGACGACAAGGCCAAGGCAGCGGCCAAGGCTACGGCCGCTGAAGCAGCAACAGCAGCCGCTGTCGGCTCGCCGACGAGCTCGCCCCGCCGTGGCTCGATCCGCGGCGGGAATCGCCGCCGCAGAGGCTCGGGTGCCAGCGTCGCCCGCCGCAAGCCCCGGTCCGGGCCAGACGCCGACTCGGCCGCCCGCCGCGCCACCGTCGACGTCGGCGTCCAGTGGGAGCACCCCAACCCGGACGAGGAGGTCAACGAAAAGTCGTTTAAGACCCGGGTCACAGAGTACCTTGCCGACCACCAGATCAGCAAGGCGGTCCGTCTTGCCGGTGAAGCCGACGACGACGACGACGATGACGACGACGACGACGCCCTCGCCGCTCAGCTCGAGTCGCTCAATCCGCTCTCAGTGCTCGCCGAGACCGAAGCCGTCGAGATGGACACGTCCGTGGAGGATTCGTCCGCCTCAAGCCAGCCCCTGTCCACTGCCGCCGCTGCGCATCCGCCGCAATCGCCGCGCGGTGACGCCGGCGATCAGGGCACCCCGTCAAGCCGACGCAAGCGACGCCGTCGCAGGTCACCCAATCCCGAAGCCGCCACAGAATCGCCGGCCGCCGACAGCGAGACTGCCGCCTCGCCGCAGACCCCGCGCGAGCAGCCACGCCATTCCCGTCGCAAGGTACGCCCTTATGTCCTTTTCCCTAACGTTTCTCCTCACCTCCCCCTCCCTTTCTCCATGGTTCTTAAGGTGGCCTCCATTACGACTGCGCGCTTGCGCGCAGTCGTGCGCAGTACCGCGTACTGTGGGTTGGAGCGACTCTGAGTCATGACCGTGGTATATTAATGCGCGCCTGTCCTCCATCGTGGAGCCCGTTGCCGCCCGCTTGATCGGGCGGCTGCGCGTTTTGCGTTGGGCTTCCCGGAGGCAGGCGCGACGCCGTCCCTGCCGAGCCCAGCCGAGCCCGCGAGCATGCTGTCCTTGTGGCGGCAGTGCGTTCCACCGCGGGCGAGCCTGGTGCTCTTCTGCTCGCCCTCGCACTCTTGGCGCTTGTCGCCAAGACGTCGTCGGCGTTGCAGCGTGCAGGACTCACATTCCCTATCTTCCCTCCGATTCCGTTGTCTACGTGCCTGCCTCCCCCCTCCCCCCCTTTTTGTTTTACTCATCTACTCACACGCGAACAACGTCAGTCTGGCGCCTCCCCGTGGGCGCGGGTTGCGAGCCGGCTATCGCCGCTCAAGTCCAAGACGGCGCGCAAGCGGCTGCGGCGGTTCCGAGCCCGCAACCGGATGCTTGTGGAGATTTTCGCGCAGAACCTCAACCAGACGCCCAAACATCTGCACTGGCTCCTGCGAATTGTGCGCAAGGTGTACGCCGACAAGGCTGTTGCGGACGCGCTGCTGGACAAGGCGTCGCTGCCGCACGCCACGCTGCCCGAGTTTGTGTACCGGTTCCTCAAGTCCAAGTACGGAACGTCGACGCTGGTCTCGCGCAATCTGGGCGCAGTCATTGTCACGGCGCAGCACTTTCGCAAGGGTAACCTCGAGATCGACACCTTTGCTAAGTTTATGGAAGAGGTGTGGTCGGTCAAGGCGCTGGACAAGTACCTGGAGGCGCGGCAGCTCGCCGTGGAGCTCCAGGTCGGCATCGCCTACTTTCGCCCCTCGCAGCGGACGTCCGGTAAGCAGTATGTGTGTCTGCTGCGGGCACGCGCAGTCGCTGAGCGGGTTCTGGGTGAGCGGTCAGCTGCGGCGGCTGCCCCATTCTGGGCGCGGGTCGAGGCGCGGGCGCGGGAGGCCACCGAGGATGACATTGCCGTCACGCGGTCTTCTACCTGGCTCGCGCACAACCGCGGCATCCCGGCGAGCTACGTCTTTCGCAAGGTCCGGCTCCACGAGTTCCTCTTTATGCTTGTGGAGGAGTTTATTCTCCTTGTCTCGGCCTTTCGCAAGCGGGTGCCGGAAGCCTTCCACGCCTTTGCCAACGTTCACTCGGCTGCCAACGCGCTGCCGGGCACCGTGTCGCGGGCGCAGTTTGGGGCAGTGCTCGACGAGCTCGGAGTGCGTGCAGCAGTGACTGCGGCTCCCGGGGGCTCGAGTCGGCTTGGGCTGATGCGCTGCTGCACTCTGACACGGCACGACAGAGCCTGGTTGACGTCAAGGGCTTCCGCGCCATGTGCCACGGCCTGGCTGACGTCCAGGCTGCATGGTGCTACTCGTTTGTTCCGGTCTACCGCAACGTCCACGCCGAGCTGGTCACCAAAAAGGCGCAAAGCCAGCTGCTCAAGGTCGTCCACAAGCACTGGCGGTTCTTCAACGTGCTGTTTGAGGAGTACTGTCCGCAGCTCAAGTTCCACGCCCGGACCCGGCAAGGGTACTCGACGCTTCAGGAGCTGCGCTCGCTGCTGGCGACGGCTCTTGAGTCGGGCGAGATTGAGGGCGCGCGGGCCGCAATCCTGTATCGCAAGCTGCTCTACGTCTCGATGGCGCAGCTTGTCGACTTGCACCAGTCGCTGACGGCGTCGATGGAGGACGCCGCGCGAGTTGACATCGAGCTCGACTTTATGGAAAACGTGGTACTCGATCTAGTCAAGCGGCATCAGGCCATGTCGTGGCGCGGCACAACCGCAGCCGAGACGGCGCTCCGCTCGCCGCTGGTCCGCGGCGAGACCGAGGCTATCCTTCACTTTGCATCCAGCTCCGAGGCGGCAACGCCAGCCAAGCCAGCCGCCGGGGCGCTGCAAGCTGAGCTCGCGCGTCGGCAGGCAGCCCGCGCCGCCGCCACCGGTGACTCGCCGGCTTCGGTCGAAGCGTCGCTGTCGAGGAGCGATGTGCTGTCGTGTGACGACTCGGGCCTGCTCAACGTCTCTTCGGCATCAGTCCTCGCCTCGGACGCGCTGCGTATCATGTCGCCGTCAGCCGGCGATCTCTCCGGCTATGTTTAGCTCGCTAGCCGGACCACAGCAGCTGGCTGGGCAAAAATGCCACAGTTGACATTGGCGCGAAAGTACTGCTTGCCATCAACAACGCCATGGTGCCGGCCGCGCGGCTCATCGAGCGCCAGGCCAACCCAGACGCCGTCAGCAAACAGCGGGCGGCCGACATACCTCACCGTCGCCTTGTTGCCCTTGTAAACCACTCGATCTCCGATGCTGAACTTGTCCTTGATCGACTGCTCATACAGCTCGTCGTCCATGGCATCGAGTGCGGTGCGGCGCTTGGGCCGAGGCGGGAGGGCGGCGGCGGTCGGTCGCGGCTTGGCCACACCGCGCTTGCGCCGTCGCCGCCGCCGGCATGACTTTGCCGTGTGGTGCGGGGAGAGGACCCGTCGCCGTGGGCTGACGTTGCGCTTCCCTCGCGTGCTCCGCTTCGCACGCTTGGACCTCTTGGACCGGGGAGTGTTGCGCTTACCGGAGCGGCCAAGGCCGCGCGCCGAGGCCAGCGAGCTGCCTCCGGCCGGGCGGGCAGCGGCGCGCTCGGCATCGCTGAGAAGAGAAGCAATGCGGTCGAGCGGGCGAGTGTCGCGGAGCGCAAGAGCAGCGGCAAGCGGGGTGGCGCCGCTTTTCGTGCCATCGTCACAGAGAACAGCATCGCAGACGAGCGGTGACGCGCCGGCATCGAGGAGGGCGGCGACGACAGCGACGTGCTCGTCGGTGGCAGCCGGTTGGATGGCAAAGTGGAGGGCGGTGCGGCCGTCGGCGTCGGTCCGTCCAGTCGAGGCACCACGCTCAAGCAAAAACGTGACGCAGCGCAAGGCGCCGGCGCGGGCAGCAGCCATGAGCAAGGTCAAGCCTGTCTCGTCGCGAGCTTCGTTGACGTCGAGGCCCGAGTCGACGGCAGCAGAAAAGCGGAAGAAGTCGTACTCGCGGAGAGCAAGGAGCGCTGCCGACCAGAGCGATGCCATAGCACGCGAGCGTGTAGCAAAGAGGTAGTCTTTCCACTGGGCAGCGAGGCGGACAAGCGTGGTCTTGTCCTCGGGCATCCACATCTGCAAGAGGCCGGTGACCTCCTGGCGGACGTTGTCGATGCCCGACTCGCGCGAGGCGAGCTTGACCGAGAGATCGACGGCCAGCTCGCCGAGCGCATTGCGGATCCACACATCAACGCCGTGAACAAGCAGCCACTTGACAACCATGGGCTTGGCGTAGGCGACAGCGTAGTGTAGCGGAGTGTCGCCGAGAGCGGTGACGGCATCGAGATCGACGTCCTCCGCCAGCAGATAGTCGAGAATGAGCGGATACACTCCATCGTTGTCGACATGCCGAATGGCCACATGCAGCAGGCTCTCCTCCCTCTCGCACCGAGTCCGCACGCCCGCCCAGTACCCCCTTCCGCCCTTCTTGACCCTCGTCGCCGTCGTCTCCGTCTTGCTCGTCTTGCCCGTCTGACCCTGCCCACCTCGCCTCTCGTGGAAGGCCCTGCGGAGGCCGACCGCGTCGAGCTTTGCCACAGCCTCAAAGGCGGATATCTCTGCTTCAGGTGCAGACTGAGGTAGTGATGTGGGTGGGGGCATGGTGGGGGTAGGGGGGGGGGGGGGGGAGTGGGGTGGGGGAGAGGTGGCCTGTGACTGACTCGCCTTTGGTTGGGGTGGACGGGTGTAGGAGGTGATGGGGATGGGGATGGGGATGGGGATGGGGATGGGGATGGGGATGGGAGATGGTGATGATGATGATGATGATGATGGTGGTGGCGGTGGTGGTGGTGGGATCAAGTGAGGTCGGGAAGAGCAGCACCATGTAACTTTCAGCTGTTGTGCGAGACGCGACTACGGAGCTCGGCCTTATCGAGCCCAGATGGCGGCGAGCCCAGAGTCACCGGCACTGTCTGTGGTTGTGCTGGCAGCAGGCATGGCGACAGAGCCATCATTGCTCAGCCTGCTCTCGCGCCGCTTGTGGACGACCAAGCCGGTAGCAACGGCGGCGCCGACGAGCGCTGCCGAGATGAGGAGGCCGATGCCAATGCCGATGATGGTGATGGTGATGGTGATGGTGGTAGTGGTGGTGATGGTGGTGGTGGTGGTGATGGTGGTGGTGGTTGACGCAGTGTGTGCTCGGCTGGCGCCACATCGCCGTTCCCTGCCAACCGCCTTGGCCAGGCATGGCTAGACAAAGGGCCAGTCACCCGACTCGGCTTCGCTGTGGGGCCAGGAGTGGTCTCGGCATGGATAACAATGTGCTTATTGGCATAGCTTTGGCCTTGCAGTTGGTACGCAGGTGGAGGCGGGGGAGGGGAGAGGGGAAGGGAGAGGAGGGAGTGATAGCGAAATCCTCTGTATGGGGATGGGGATGGGAGATGGTGATGATGATGATGATGATGATGGTGGTGGCGGTGGTGGTGGTGGGATCAAGTGAGGTCGGGAAGAGCAGCACCATGTAACTTTCAGCTGTTGTGCGAGACGCGACTACGGAGCTCGGCCTTATCGAGCCCAGATGGCGGCGAGCCCAGAGTCACCGGCACTGTCTGTGGTTGTGCTGGCAGCAGGCATGGCGACAGAGCCATCATTGCTCAGCCTGCTCTCGCGCCGCTTGTGGACGACCAAGCCGGTAGCAACGGCGGCGCCGACGAGCGCTGCCGAGATGAGGAGGCCGATGCCAATGCCGATGATGGTGATGGTGATGGTGATGGTGGTAGTGGTGGTGATGGTGGTGGTGGTGGTGATGGTGGTGGTGGTTGACGCAGTGTGTGCTCGGCTGGCGCCACATCGCCGTTCCCTGCCAACCGCCTTGGCCAGGCATGGCTAGACAAAGGGCCAGTCACCCGACTCGGCTTCGCTGTGGGGCCAGGAGTGGTCTCGGCATGGATAACAATGTGCTTATTGGCATAGCTTTGGCCTTGCAGTTGGTACGCAGGTGGAGGCGGGGGAGGGGAGAGGGGAAGGGAGAGGAGGGAGGGAGGGGAGAGGGGAAGGGAGGGGAGGAGGGAGGGAGGGAGGGAGGGAGGGAGGGAGGGAGGGAGGGAGGAAGGGGTGTAAGGGGTGGGGCTGGGGCGAGTCAGACAAGGCGCAATCGGCTGCTACTTACTTCCATCTCTCTCTCTCTCTCTCTCTCTCTCTCTCTCTCTGTCTCTCTCTCTCTCTCTCTCTCTGTCTCTCTCTCTCTCGCCTGCTCGCCTGCTCGCCCGCTATCTCGCCTGCTCGCCTGCTCGCCCGCTATCTCGCCCGCTCGCCCGCTCTCTCTCTGTCTCTCGTTCGCTCTCTGTCTCTCTCTCTCTCTCTCTCTCTCTCTCGCCATCTCGCCCGCTCTCTCTCTCTCTCTCTCTCTCTGTCTCTCGTTCGCTCGTGGTAGGTCTGCTGCCTCGCACTGCTCGCATCATCAGCCGCAACTGAGCACCCGCGCCACGACACGGCCGATTCGCCGTGGTTCTACGCCCTCCAAGTGTTCGTCCTCGCCATCGGCGGCTTTGTCGTCCACAAGGCTAGCAAGGCTAGCAAGTCTGTCGAGAATGATACCGATGGCGATGGGCCCACCTTTAGCATGCAACGCTTCGACTCGCATCCACCTGCCGTCAGCGAAGAGTTCCGCATCCAATCCCTCGCCACGGGCATGTCCAACATCGCATCGGGCGTGTCGATCGCAACAAGTGCCGGCGGCATGGTACAGTCCTCGAGTCTGGGTTCGCCCGAGCCCGCCGAAGAGCACAAGGGCATGTTCATCGCCGTCTGTGTCTTCTTTGCTGCCTCGATTGGGCTGGGCCTTGTCGGCTCGTTTTTCTTTGTTGCCCACGCCTCAGAGCTCAACGTGACCAACACTCGCTGCGACCTCGCCATCGACTCGCCCGAGAGTTGCAGCGACAACCGCGAGCGCCTCCGTGCCACCCTCGCCCGCCTCGGCGTCTACACCGCGTTTGCCCTCCTTGCTCTTCACCCGCTTGCATCCTGGCTCGTCGCGCACAAGCACTACGTCGTCATCCCACCGCCCACTGCCCCGTCGCTCACAGATGACCAGCTCTCGCGCGCCGACTTTCCCAGCAGAGCCTCCATGTCCGCAACATCCGCCGTCATCCGCCATCCGTCGGGTGCTGTCACCTCCCGCCCGCCTGTTCCCCGTGGCATTGTCGCCAGCGGCTCCCCGGCCATCGCTGTTACTCCCGGGAGCCCCGAGATGATGCAGACCCGATAGATGCGCTCCAAGACAGCCCACACACTCCAGTAACACGCCTTGTATGCCGGTTACACCGTGTTAACGAATCGTCTTTACACTGCTTTGCTCACGATGAGCCCTTGGGCGCAAAGTACATGGCCCGGTTACGTCCCTCTTTCCGCAGCGAGCCGTCGGGCGCGCCAAACTCGGCCAGCGCCTCGGTCACCTCCTCCAGCTTGGCCTCCAGCGGCGCCGGATCGTACAGTCGCGCTGGCTTGCGGTACTGGACCGTCACCTTGAGACGCGCGCCCTTCTCCAGAAAGCCCTGCATCTTGCGCATCTTGGTCGACAGATCATGGTCGTCGATCGTCGACGTGAGCCGCATCTCCTTGAGCCCGGCGCCCGAGCTCGCCGCCTTGGCCTCCTTGGCCGCCTTGGCCACCTCGCGAGCCTTGCGGACTTCGGCCGCCACGAGCTCCGAAAACGAGACCACCTTGCAGACCGGCGGCTTGGCGTTCGGCGCCACTTCGACAAGATCCAGCCCGGCCGCAGCCGCAACCTCCACAGCCTCGCTCAGCGGGACAACTCCGCGGTTCTCGCCCTCGCCGTCGATGAGCCGGACCTCCGCCGCCTCCACCTCGTCATTGACCCGATACGGCAGTACGTCCGACCCGCTCCGCCGCACATCGCTGCCGCCACCGCCGCCACCGCCGCGCCCCATCCCGCCGCCACCGCGCCCCATCCCGCCGCCACCGCGCCCACGACCACGCCCACGCCCGCGCCCGCGACCACGCCCACGTCCGCGTCCGCCGCCGCCACCGCGCCGCCGGCCAGCCGCATACGCCCGCGCCCCGCTCAGCCCGGCCCGCGCCAGGCCCGCGCCCATCACCGTCCGCGAAGTCGAAGACCCAAGCAGCCGGAACATGCCTCCAGTGGCGAGTGCTCCGAGTGGTGTGTGCCTAGCACCTCCACAGGCCACGTCCAGACCGGCTCGCCCTCTCCTGCCAGTGCCGCGTTGACGGACGGATCGGACACGCGGATCGCTCGTACGTGGGGGGGGGGGGGTGCATGGGAGAGAATGGTGGGAGGAAAGGAGAGTGGACTTCAGAGGGGGGGAGAGGGGGGAGAAGGAGAGGGAGAGGGACAGGGAGGGGGGATCGGCCCATGATGTGTGCGATGGAGCACTTGGGAAGAGATCAAGGTGCAAAGAAAGAGAACATCCAAAAAAAGTTCATGTTGATCACTGATCGCATGCAACTTTGTCTTGTCAACTCTCAACCTTTGCAGAGAGCACCCACAAGCACAAAACGCCTCCAGCCGCCCCTTCTCCCGTGTGTATCCCGCACATCCCCACCCCCCTCCCCTGCCTCGCTCCGATCTCACCGATGAGTCATCTCTCTCTCACCTCCCCCCCCCACAGCACCTGGTCCGCGGCCCGACACTTGACGACAACCATGGTGAAGCGCAGACGACGGGCTTCAGCGGCGGCGGCAGCAACTCTCCTGGCTGACCTGTCCGACGGCGAGGGTGGAGGCGGGAGTGACTCGGAGGGCTTTGCACCCAGTGACGGCAGTGGCAGTGGTGGCAGTGGCGGCGGTGGCGGCAGCGGCAGCGGCGGCAGCGCATGGGACAGCGATGAGGACGACTTTCTGGCTCGGCGGCCCAAGAAGAAGGCCAAAACGAGTATGGCCAAGAAAGCGCCGGCCAAGAAGGCGCCGGCCAAGAAGGCATCGGCCAAGAAGGCGCCGGCCAAGCCCAAGGCTAGGGCGGCGCCTGCCCCGGCGGACAAGGCAGTTGTGGAGAACGATGACGGCGACGACGAGTCGCCATTGCCACCTTCGCAGGCATCGCAGGCATCGCTGACGGCGGGTGGCGGTGACAAGGAAGGAATGACGGTGGCGGCGACGGTGGCAAAGGGCACCCCAAAGAAGCGGGGCAAGAAGGAGATGCCGTCGACGGCATCGCTGGAGTTTGGCAAGCTCAAGAGCTCGCCAGTCATCATGTGCCAGATCGCCGATACCAAGCTCACACTAACGGGCGACGCCGGCGTGCTAGGCAAGTTCAAGGCCGAGCGGCCGGATCCGGAGCGTGCGAGCAGCGAGTACCCGGAGCATGCCCTAGTCCAACTGGATCTGAAGGGCAAACTGTACCAAGGCCCGCTCCTGCCGACACACACACTGCTTGCAGTCTCGCTCTCTGGCGAGAACGCGCGCATCGACGCCGTCATCGACCACTTTGTTCCACTTGAGCTGACCGACGGCATTGTCACCGACGTCCAGCTGGTCTCGGGCAATCTCGCGCCCGAGCTGTTTCATTCAAAGGTGTGGAAGCCCGAGGCCCCGACAAACAGCTAGAACCCAGAGGTCTTGGGAAAGTAGCGGAAGAGGCGGATAATTGAGCCCATAAACATCGGCGGGTCGTCGGCAGCAAGAAAGAGGACCGACCAGAGGAACCGCGCAAGCCACAGGTCGTTGCGCTCTGACCGACGGTAGCGGCGGACCATGATTGGCTGCGGAGGCGGGAGCAGGCCCACGACTGTCGACGCCTGCAGCAGGTCGCGGATCGCGCCCGGATCCGCATTCCCGGTTGCAGCCACATACTCGGCCACCCACGGCGCCATCGCCTTGATTGTCTGCAGCACAATGCTGAGCGGAATGAGCATGCTATCTTTCCACGCCGCCCGGAAGTGTGCATTGCTCCCGGCCACCTGAGGCACAGGCGGATGGACCGGTGGCTCGATGCTCGCCGCCAGCACCTCCAGCGGTGCCTCGGCGTCGAGCAGAGCGTGGACAACCGCCCCATTGGCATCAAACTGGTACTGCACCATGTTGGCAAAGAGCTCGAGGAGGAGCATGACATCGGCTGGCCCGGCTCGGCTGCCCAGCATCCGCGACGGCTTAGCGAGGCCAACCACCAGCGCCACCAGAAGCGACGCCGCCGTGGCCGAGAGCCCGCGTAGATATGGTGAGACGTTGACGAGGAGAGTAAAGAGCGTGCCACGGACCCGATCGATGTCAGAGTTGCGGCTGAGGACAAGCGTGTGGACGGTGAGAACAAGCACATCCGCGTAGGTGCCGTCAAAGGCAGGCAGCGCCAGCGGGAGCTCACCGGCGTACGGCGTGTTGAGCGCTACGCCAAAGCCGCGCTCGGCAGAGAGCCGGAGCAGGACAAAGGCGCCGACGTGGATGAGCCCGTGGTGGTCGACGTGCGACCGTGCTGCGAGAAGCAGCGACGCCAGCGCCTCCACAAGCGCACACACAGTCGTGCTTGCCTCCACCAGCCGAAGCGCCAGCGGCGGCGAAGCCTCGAGCGAGTGCCACAGAAGGAACAACGCCTGCTCAAACATGGTCCACTCGCCGAGCCCGCACCACGCCGAGACGTGCACAATGTTGACAAGACTGGCGAGGAGCGCGTCTGCCAGCTGCGCATCGCCAGCTAGCACCCGGCTCGCCTCCTTCCGCACCTGGTTGTGTCGCACCGGATCAGCAGCGCCCGAGTGGACACCGACCTCGGCGTCGGGCCCGTGGACCGCAGCTACGTCCTCCCGCGGCAGGTAGCCGAGGAGCAGCGCTAGCATGCCCATACCTGCCCGCAGCATAGCCCGCTCCGGACTAGCCGACATCTGGGTCAGTTGCGCTGACGTGACCAGCGAGCCGAGCGACCACGAGCCGGTCAGTGCCGGCCCGCGGCATGCCACCACGTTGTAGACCGAGACTACCAGCTCCCGCGTGAGCCGGCCAGCATGCGGCGACGCCAGCTGCCGGAGCACCAAGTTTTCGACGTGGAACAGTGCAGACGAAGAGGTGTAGAGCGACGCCGAGCTGAGCGCCAGCACGGCGTCGAGCACTCCACGCCGGAGCTCGAGCACCTCGTCGGCCTCGGCCGCGAGCCCATTCCCCCACGCCAGCGCCTCGCCGACAGCTTCAACGGTGGCATCAGCGTCGGGTCCAGCAGCAGGGCCACACGCCTCCAGCCACGCTGTATACGCCTCGGCCTCGACCTCGGCGCAAGCCGGCGCACCGAGACCGGGCACAAACGCCGCAGCGAGAAGAGCGTGGATGAGGACAACCCCAAACGGGACCGGCGGCTCGACCCAGTCCGAGTCGTCGAGCACGCCGGGAATGCCAGCCTCCTCGCTGCTGCCGCGACCGCCATCACTTTCGCCCGAGCTCCGCACGCCGTCCAGCGGCGTGCCGAACCGGGCCCGCCACAGGATGCGCGACGCGAGCTCGTCGCGGCCGTCCTCGTACAGCAGCGGGACGATGCGCGCAATCAGCGCCAGTGAAGCCATCAGCGCACCGCGAGCCGGCGGACCAGCCGCTTCAGCCAATCCAGAACCGGCCACCAGCGCAGCCTCGGCCACATCAGCATCCATGCCCCAGGAGGAGACCAGGAGGGCCACCAGGCGATCGAGCGGGACCATGGCCAGCTGTGTGGCCAGGAGGACCTCGACACTGGCGGCCAGCATGCCAGCGAGGACATGTGGAGCGTGATCCTTCAACTCGCGTGTCTCTGGCGGAGTGAGCATGGCAAAGACGTCCGCCCGCGAGTCACAGGCAGCGAGCAGGGTGGGCATGGATCCCTTACTGGCGGCGCCAGGCGGCGACGGCACCGGGCTGGCAGGGAGCTTGTTCGGCTGTGGGCGGGCATGGGTAAGTAGAGCCACCACAGCGCCACGTAGTGCCACGCGGGACTCGGACGCACCCATGGAAGGGTGGGAAGGGGAGTGAGGTGGCAATGTGTGTGTGGTGGGGGGGTGGGGGTGGGGGGAGGGGGGTGGGTGGGTGGGGGGGACGGGACGGTCACCACGTGCTCTTCGGGAACCGGGTACGGTGTGTGTGGAGGGAGGAGGGAGGGGAGGGAGGGGGAGGGAGGGGAGGGAGGGAAGGGAGGGGGACTCACTGGGTGTGGACGTATTGTGTGTGTGTGTGTGTGTGTGTGTGTGTGTGTGTGTGTGTGTGTGTGTATGTGTGTGTGTGTGTGTGTGTGTGTGTGGTTGGTGCTGGTGTGGTGGTCGTGGTGGTCGTGGTGGTCGGCATGCTGCTGGTGGACGTGTTGGGGCTGCTGCTGCTGCTGTTACTGCTGCTGCTACTGCTGCTGGTGGCTACTGCTTGTCATGGGCGTACATGTGTCGTGGCTTTGGGATGGGTCGATGTAACTGTGACGGTGCGTGGCTGCGACGGACTGGCAACGTATGGTGACTGCTGGCGACGGTTTACAGCTGCTATGATCACCGATACCCAGCTCGGCTACTTTGCCAACTTTCTCGGCATCTCTATCTTTGGCCTCATCATCTTCTACCACTACGTTGCTGCCCGCAACGTCAAGAACTGATCGAGCGCACATGCGTTGGTAAACACAGACAGACACTCCAGACGCACTACGGATGATCCGGCGTTGGCGTCGGCGCAGCGTCAAACGCATCGAGCTCCCACTCTAGCGACGGCGCGCGCGTTGCGACCACAGCCATGCCAAACCCACCATCGGGCGCGCTCGCGAGGTACCCGCCCACACCAGGCGCCACCGTCGCACACGAAAAGAACTCATCGTCCGAGTCGTGCAGGGCAGGGAGCAGCACAGCAGCATCACCGCCACTACCTACTGTGGTGGTCGGCGCCGCAACCACAACCGCCGGCGCCGTAGCGCCATCACTGCGCTCCGACAATGACTTCTCGTCGCTGCTCTCGGCCGAGAGCGACGGTGCATTCGGCTTGTCGCCGCCGCTTTCTGACAGCGACTCTTCACCGCGACTTTCGGCCGAGAGCGACGCCGCATCCAGCTCGTCTCCCGCCTCGGCGGCCGACTCGACACTCAACGCCTTGTCGCTTGAACCATCGCACGGCTCCTCGCTGTCACTGCTGGCCTCATCCAGCGAGAGCGATGCCGCGAGCTCGGGCAGCGGCACCGGTGACGGCTCAGCCTCATCCTCGGCCGACACCAGTGTTGCCGGTGACGTGACAAGGAGTGCCGCAAAGGTGGCCTGCAGATACTCGGGGTCATCATCAAGCGCCCGCGAGACCTCAGCGTAGGTGACCGATGGCACAAGCGGCACAAACTCGGCGAGCGTCTCCATCAGCTTCTCCTGCCGGGCAGTGAGCTCCGCCGACTGCCGCAGGACTGCCGCCCGAAGCGCTTGGACACTCAGAGCGCAGAGATCGACAATGCCCTGCGCGAGGTAAGCCGCGTTCGATGCTCTTTTTCCCGCACACGTCGCCAGCGCGTCGGTCAGCAGTGACACAATGCACACAAGCGGATGGGCAGCAGCCTGCGCCGCAGAGGCCGCCGGCAGCGCCGCCGCAAACGCCTCCAGCGCCTCCAGCACAGGATCCGGCGCCACCGCGCCGTCGGTTGCCCACTCGGACACTGCGCTCACCAGTGCCTCCACAAGCGCCAACGCCGCGTCGTCTACCTCGGCCACAGTGGCCTCGGACACCGTGGCTCGCCAATCGGCTGCGTCGCCGCAGCACCCATCGCTGCTCGACTCGATCGCGCCGTCGCCATCCGCAGCCGCCTCGCTCTCGCTCCTGCTCTCGCTTCCGCTCCTCTCACCGCCCGAGCTTGTCGCCCTGGGTCGCGAGCTCATCGAGCTCTTCCGCGACCCGCGCCTCCTTTGCGGGACACACGTCGCCGAGTGGCTCTCCAGCGAGTCCATCGGAACAGCCTCTCGACACGCCGCGCAGACGATGGTCGGCAGGCCCGAGTCTCCAACATCACCCGGCAGCGATCTCCCTGCCTCTTTCCGGCGCTCCAATTGTCTCCCGCCGATCTCCGAGTGCAGACCACGTTCCGATTCGTCTGCGACCACCGTCCCTGTCGGCGTCTTGGCCTCTTCCCGCCGCCGGTCTGTCCCGCCGCCACCGCCACCCGCCGCCCCAGCAGACCCACCCGCCGGCTTTCCTGCGTTGTTCCCCATGTCACGAACAAACTCGCGCTCCTCTAATTGACACCCACGTCTTCAACGAGATGAGTATGGTTGTGACTGAGGCTGTGACTGTTGCGGTGACCGGTCGCCAGCTCTGCCCGTCACTCACCCTGGCCACCTCGACCACCTCTGGCGGCCTCTCTCGCACTCGCCTCGCCATCACTCGACTTGTTACAGAGCCATGGACGGACTGGAGGCATTGCGGAAGGAGGAGAATAGGCTGGAGAAGGAGGTCCACAATGCGAGAGTCCGTATGGCCAGGACAGAGTCCAAGCTGCAGTACGGTGCAGAGGAGAGGGGAGAGAGGGGATCACGGTCTGGGCGGCAAGGGGGGGGGGGGGGGGAAGGACTCACGTGTGGATGATGGCGTCGATGGCTGTGGATGGTCTGGGGTGCGGGGAGTGCAGCTATCGACACTTGGAGGAGCAGATCCCTGTGCTGGAGGCTCAGCTGGCAGAGAATCGGGCGGCGCAGAGCAAGGTGATGGGCGAAGCTCGGCGGACGGCGGTGGTGGCCGGTGTGGTGGCCGCCGCCGTGGGCGTGTTGGCGTGGGCGATGGGCTGGCTGGAGCTTCCTGAGACACTTGCGCAGGGCGTCGAGCCTGTTTGACGGGAGGGGGAAAGGGGGGAGAGGGGAGGGTTCCGGGGCCGGTGGTCAGCGCGGGTGGGCGGCAAAGTGGCGGTTGAGCGACTCGGACCAGAGGTCAGTGGTCGACTTGACGACCGGCTTTGCGGCCGAGTGCGGGACCGACGAGAGCATCGAATCGTTGTGGGCGCGGAGGACCGAGTCGTCGTGGCGCGGGCCGTAGTCGGAGCGGCCGAGGTCGCCAGCAGCAATCATGGACGACTCGATAGCAGCGGCCGGGTTGCGGTCGGCCGGGTCGGGGACCCGGGCCGGCGAGTCGCGGAAGACGAGGGCGCGAAAGTTGGACGAGGCCTTGGAGGCGAGCATGGCGCGCATGTCGAGGTCGTGGGCGGCACGGGCGTGATCCACCGGCGGCATGCCTTGGCCCGGGCCCTGGGCCGAGGCGGTGGTGACAACCACCTCGCCAACCACCTGCAGGTCGGCCTGGACGTCCGAGAGCGGGCGGAGCGACTCGGGCGCAGTGTCGTGGATCTCGGCGCGGAGGAGCAGGTGCTTGTTCCAGGCCTCGAGAAAGTTGGTCGGCTTGAGGACCGAGCGCTGGTAGGTGAGGAACGCGTCCATGTGCTCGAGCTCACCGAGCTGGCGCCGCATCTCGAGCTCGTCGCCGAGGAGGAGGGCGAGCTTGGCCTGGGTCGAGACCTGCAGTTGGAAGAGCGCAGCCTGGAGGAGCTCGTAAATGCGCTCCTCGGCGGCGGCGGCGTTGGCCTGGACGGCGCGGAGGGACGAGTCGATGCCGGAGAGCTTCTTCAGAATGTCGGAGCGCTTGGAGCCAACGGTCGGGTCGTCGCGGTTGGCGGCGTCGAGGGCGGCGGCATAGGCCTCGCGGATGGTGATGAGCTTGTGCGAGGCGGCCTCGCCCGAGGCGTGCGAGCCGATCATCTTGCAGTGGACGCAGACCGGGACGTGGTCGATGGGGCAAAAGTACTCAACCGAGTTGCCTGGGTGGTAGGCGCAGTCGCCAAAGGCGAGCGGAACGGCGCCGAGCTCCGAGCGCGTGTGGCGCTGGACAAGCTTGTTGGCCGAGTGGATCTCGGCGTCGCACTCCTTGCACAGCCGCGCGTCGTCCTGCTGACAGTAGAGCGTGGCCTCGGCCTCCTCGCACACTTCGCACAGCGTGACACCGGCTGCAGCCTCGGACGCGGGGTCAAACTTAAAGTTGACGAGGAAGAGCGGGAGGACCTGGGCCGGGTCCTGCAGCAGGTACTCGTGGTGGTACACGTGCGCCTCCTCAGACGCCGCCGAGTGGACATAGATCGAGTCGTAGCCTTCGGGGATCTCGACCCGCGCCGCCTGCAGCGCCTCTTCCTCCACCACGTACGACCGCCCCACGGCAATCTTGCAGAGCATGTACTGGTGGTCGCGCGGCGCGCCGTCGGGAATGACGATAGAGCCGACAGCAAACAGCATGCCAGCGTCCTGGAACCGGAACCCGCGCGCCATGACCTCGTCCACCGAGTTGAGATCGCCCACCAGCGCGGCGTCGACCCATGCGTACAGCGTCATCATCTCGGCCGCCCGGGCCTCAAAGGCCAGCGAGAGGTTTGGGTTGCCGATGGCCGCCACCTCGTCCAGCTCCACCGTCGTCGCTTGCAGCGCCAGCTTGAGCTGGTACTCCACCTTGGCAAACTCCAGCGATAGCCGCGGCACCGGTGTATGCTGTTGTTGCACAGTGTGTGAGTGAAGGGGGCGGGGAGGGGCTGGGAGGGGAGCGGGGGAGGAGGAGCGGAAGAGGCGTACCTGTGCCATGGTGAGGGTGCTGGGAAGGGGGGGTATGTATATGCGTGTGTGTGCGTGTGTGTGTATGTGTGTATGTGTGTATGTATGTATAAATGTGTGTGTTTGTGTGTGTGGGTGTGGGTGCGTATGTGTATGCGTATGTGTGTAGTGGTGGTGTGGCGGGGTACTGGTGGCGGGAAAGAGGGAGAGCGGTGGCGGGAAGCCAGTGGCGGTGACCTTGGCGCGCCCGAGTTGGCGCCCAACTTTGCGCCCAAGTTTGGTCCTTGCCCACCAACCACCACCAACCACCACCAACCACCACCAACCACCACCACCGGCAGCCCACACACCATTGCGACAGGGCTCCCTTTCCCCATACCTCTCTCCCCTCACCCTCCCTCCTCCTCTCCCCTCCCCACACTCCCCCCTCCCCCCACACACAGACACATCTTCTCCACACCCTTACCTTCCTCAACCTCCCTCATACCATGAGTACGGCCCAGGCCTGTCCGCAGCACACTGCCCCGCCTCCGTCTTGCCCCGCCCCGCCCTGACCCCCTTGACCCCCCTCCCCCCCTCCCTCCCTTCCCCGCCCTCCCTTCCATCTCACTCACACCCTCTCCCCTTCCTCCCCTTCTTCTCCTGTGGGCAGGCGATCCCAACCCGGTGCCTGCGGCTACGACCGAGGGCGACGAGACGACGACGGCAACCGGCGGAGAGACGGTGGCTCCGGCGATGGTGCTGCCGTCGATGGTGGCGCCGCTGGCAGTCAAAGAGTCGATCAACCCAGAAGGCGCAGGCGTGCGGGCGTACTTGGAGCAGACGGTCGTCCCGCTGCTGCTGCAGGGCATGAACCAGCTGGTCAAGGAGCGGCCTGTCAACCCCGTCGAGTACCTCGCCCTCTACCTTCTCAAGCACAACCCGGAGAAGCCGACAGATGCCGACGCGCCCGCATCCTCCTCGTAGTCGTCCCCAAAACGTGCCGCCCTCATCGCGTCGTGCCGTCTCGAGTCGCTGGCTCGCCCGTTGCCAGGCAACCAGCTCGGCCGAGTATTCCACACGCCGAAGCCTTCCGACCATTCCGACTGCCGTCGCGGCAAAACCGCGTCGCATACTGCGCGCGGCCGAGTGAAACCCGAGTGCACATTCCTTTTGAGCATACATTCTGTAGCCATGGAGGTGAGTTTGGATCTAGCGTCTGATGTCTTCTCGCACGTGCTCTCGCGCGCTCCGCCGGCAGAGGCCGGTCTGATGGAGGCACTGGCAGTGCTGATTGCCGAGGCCGCCGACGAGCCATCGGTGCCTGCCGACTGGATGGATGCATTTAGCGAGCTTCTCGCTGACGCCGGCGTCGACGAAGACACTGCGGTGGCCGCCGCGGCCGAGTTTGTGCTCCGCGCCGCGCAGGCGAGCGTGGCTGCCGCGTCCTGCGCGCGAGCCGAGAGCCAACCAGCCGCCTCGATCGCCATCGCCGACAGCAGCCATCCGTACGCCCTCGCGTGCGTCGACTCTGTTTCGGGCAAGCCGCTCTCGCTTGGTGAGGTGAACGACCGGGTTGCCGAGGCCAGCGGCTCGTGCGCGGTTAGCCTCGAGGTGTTCATGGAGGGCACTCGTGCGGTCGATGCGCGCGAACGACGGCTGGCACTCCGCGAGCTCTGCCCCTGCCACGTCAAGAAGGACATCGACGTGTTCTGGAAGCGCATCATGGCCATGGTGAACGACCCCGATCCGGACGTCCGCTACCAGGTTCTTCACAACCTCTGCGACGGCTCGCCGCTCCGCCTCGAAGCCGACGTCATCGCCGCCATCGAGATCCTCCACAACGACGCCGACAAAAGGGTAGCCCGCGCAGCACGGCGTGTCCTTGTTGAGTACCGCAAGACCGGCGATTGGAACGTCATGTGAGGTGGTGTGGGGATAAACGATGGGATCCCATGGCGCGCGGGAGCGATGGAGCGAGGTAGCAGCCGGCGGGCGAAGCACTCGTCGCGTGGTTGTGCAGTCGAGCGGCGGAATGGAAGGCGACGAGAGAGACGCCAGCGGCAGTGGGCATGGCGGGATGGAGGAGGGATTGGGGATGGATGCGATTGTGGCTGCAGCAGCCGGGTGGCGGCGGGGTGAGAGTGGCCAGGGCGGTGAGGGTGGCGCCGAGGCCGACAACAGTGTCGGGTCGGAGGAGAGGTCGGAGGCTGGGGCTGGGGCTGGAGATGTGGTGGAAGGTGCAAGTGCTTGGCGGCGAGCGGATACTGGCGCAGACGGCAGCATGGACGGCAGCGTGGACGGCGTGCCTGTCGGTGTCGACTGCCTGGCGGCGGCTGGCGAGTCGTGGCGGCGAGCGGATGCTGGCGCAGACGACGGGTCGGAGGCTGGAGACGACGGGCTTGATATTGCTCACCTGGATGCGGCTTGCGAGTCTTGGCAGCGGGTGGATGCTGGTGCAGGCGGCAGTGTGGACGGTGCGCCTGTCGGTGTCGACTGCCTGGCGTCGGCTGGCGAGTCGTGGCGGCGAGCGGATGCTGGCGTGGACGACGTGGCTTGGCCAGACACCCATGCCGAGCCACACCCCACCACGTCGGACTCGGATTCTGCCTCCATCGCTGGCGCCGCTGTCACCGCGGATATCTCCGACGTGTTCGAGTCATCGTCGGGTGCCGCTGACTTTACGGCCGCTGTGGCCTGGTCAGACGACGAGACGCCGCGCCAGGACAAGGCGCTTGCCCCGAGCTCGACTGACCGCCTTGCTGCTGCTGTCCTCGGGTGGCGCATCCGCGTCGCTTTCTCCTCGACTCGCATCTCGCAGCTCCTCGTACAGATCACCGCACTCACTGCTGAGGCGGCTGCCGAGGCAGCTGCCGATGACACGCCTGCTGACGCCGAGCGCCGCCGCCGGGTGGTGGCGACCAAGAAGGAGATCCTCTCGGTCCTGCTCACTACGCCGGCTTCGCTTGCCGCCATCTTTGTGGCCACCCTGCAGCGTGACCGCGCCACGCGCCTCGCCGTCTCCGCCAACACGTCTGCTCCCGACGACGCCTTTCAGCTTGCTCCGTTGCGGCCGTTCTCCTGCGACACCGCTGCCGCGCAGTGGTCGGCGCTGGTCCTCGACGACGACCAGATCGCCTTTGTCGACTCGCTCGCCCACACCCGCGCCTCCCGCGCCGCACGACTCCAGGATCTCGCCTCGCTCGCCCACGCCGCGCTCCTCGATCCACGTCGCGCATAAATCGCGATCCCTATCGTTTACGAAGCACCTCACCCGACCCGAACCGTCAGCTTGGCTGCCGAGCCGGCAATAGCCACCTCGTGCACGCCCTGGCCGAGCACAGCCTTGGGCAGGCCGAGCAGCGAGATCAGACTCGCATCGCCAGCTGCACCGTCGCCGACAGCCTTGGCCACGCCAAACACGTTGGCGCCGTTCCGTCCGGGCTCCAGCGCGACCGCAAGCTCGCCCTTGCCCGCCGCCACCTCCAGCACCGCCTTGGCCGCGCTCGCATTGGCCTCGGCCTGTGCAGCCCGCTCACCAGCCGCCGCCTTGGTCGCCGCCTCGATCGCCTCCTCGCGCGCAAACAGCGCCCGGTTGACCTCGGTGTCATACACCGCATCGCCCGCAGGGTACAGCTTGTTGCGCATAAAGCCAGCCGCCACGCCGACCCGCTCGCCGCGCACCCGCGCCCGCCCGGCCACCTCCACTCCATCCTTGGCCACCAGCACCTGCAGTGGCTTGGCTGCCCGCTTCGACACACTCCGCTACACCCCGGTCCACACCTCCATCCACTGTCAGTCCCCCCGTTCCCCCTCCCAGACCCCGCTTCACCCCTCCGCCGCGTCGGTCCGGGATGGCCCCCTGCCCCCGACACACACACACACACACACACACAACACAGGCTGCATCACGCCCCGTACAGCAGAGGCCTGGCCCAGAACAGGCAGGCTGATATGGGTCATCCGCAGCATGGTCCCTCTGTCGACAGCCGCAAAGACAAGTGTGTTTGTCCACCAAGGCTCGTGGCTGGTGGCTGGTCGGCGGGTGGTCGCACGGGCAGCGGGCGATGGACGACAACGAAGCTGGGCCATTAAAGCCACCCTATCATTCGCCTATTACCCCAGTCGCCTCGACACCGACGGCATCAATTGGTAGATCGGCAGCTGGGTAGGTACCCCCTTCTCAACTTTGCCGGTGATGGCGCAAGCGGATAGACGCGTGGGTTGGCGAGACGGTCGATGGCAATACAGTTTTATCGTCGCCGCTGCCCCTTGTTCTTCTTCTTGGCCTTCTTCTTCTTCTTGTTCCTGCTCTTGCTCTTCATCTTCGACTTGCCCTTAGCCTGATCACTTGGCTCGGCCTCGGCGACACCACTGCCATCATCACCAAACCGCGCACGAAGCGCAACAATGACCTCGTCGAGTGACAATGGAGGCGGAGCAAGCACTTCACCGTGCTTCGTGCGCCGTCTGTGCTCCTTGCGATAGCGGCGGATCCTTGTAGTCAGCACGTCTGGAGCAGAGCACAAGGCCGAGAACCCAAGGTTGTCGAGCAGTCGTGAATGAATAGGAAGCCCACGATCGCCTACGAGGTCGACAACCGCAGCCAGGTGGTCGGCAGCGGCAGCATGATCACGGAACTTGCCTGCCACAAGAACAACCGCAAGGATCAGGTGTGTCAGAATCCAAGTGCTCTCGGATTGTGTATCGCCAACGAGAGGCGTTTCAAGGACATGTGGAAAGTGATGAGCGACGGTCGACGCCATGTCGCATGCACCATTCCAGTGCACGACTGCAAGACAGCTTACCAGTACGAGGGCGTCATCAATCCCAGCATGATCCATCAAACAGCGCAGCGAAAGCGCCGCGTGCGACTTTCCACCAAGAAGAGCAGCGACGGCTAGGTTGTGCCGCGTCGTCAGCGTCGATGGATGCTCGGGGCCGAGTACGTCATCCCGCTCGCGCACAGCAAGCACTGCACGCTACTCGGCCAGCGCCTCGGCGTACTGGCCCTGTGCTTCCAGCACGCCAGCAATGTTGTGCCGCGTCGTCAGCGTCGATGGATGCTCGGGGCCGAGTACGTCCTCCCGCTCTTGCACAGCAAGCACTGCACGGTACTCGGCCAGCGCCTCGGCGTACTGGCCCTGTGCTTCCAGCACGCCAGCAATGCCGTGCCGCGTCGTCAGCGTCGATGGATGCTCGGGGCCGAGTACGTCCTCCCGCTCGCGCACAGCAAGCACTGCACGGTACTCGGCCAGCGCCTCGGCGTACTGGCCCTGTGCTTCCAGCACGACAGCAATGTTGTGCCGCGTCGTCAGCGTCGATGGATGCTCGGGGCCGAGTACGTCCTCCCGCTCTTGCACAGCAAGCACTGCACGGTACTCGGCCAGCGCCTCGGCGTACTGGCCCTGTGCTTCCAGCACGCCAGCAATGCCGTGCCGCGTCGTCAGCGTCGATGGATGCTCGGGGCCGAGTACGTCCTCCCGCTCGCCCACAGCAAGCACTGCACGGTACTCGGCCAGCGCCTCACCGTACTGGCCCCGTGATTGGTGGACCCGGCCACGCAAGTTGCGGAATGACACCAGGGAGCATTCGTCCTTGTCATGTCGCGCGACTCCCGCGTCGGCCCACCCCATGACGCGATCGAGCATGACATGCGCGTGTGCCAGCCGCTCACCAACCGACAACACCCATACATCTGCTTCTGGCCAGTTCGCCCGCCAGACCGTCTCCAGAACGTCGGCCAGTTCGCCAAACACCAACTCCGGAACGCGTTCACCGTCGTACTTCACGCGCGCGCCGATCAGCCGACTCGCCACTACCCCACCATTGCTCACAACATCGCCACCTAGAGCCACACGCACAGCCTCGCGAATCAGTGCGTGGGTCTGGTACCACACACGCCCACGTTCGTCGCTCATAAGTCGCACAAGCCCCTCCTGGCGCAGCACCAGTGCCGCGCGGTCAGCCGCCAACCCCTTCGACAGCGGAACGCCATCCACAGGTTCCATTACAAGACCGTCGATCACGCGTCCGTCGAGCAGGAACGTAGGTACGCGATCGACATCAATCACTGCAAGTACAGCCATCATCCCGCGGGCGTTGTCATCCAGTCCACGCAGCGCCAAGCGCATCGTCCCGAGTACCCCGCGCAAATGCTCCTCGCCGCCCTCGAGAACAAACACAGGGTCCTGCATTAGGCTCTGGATTTCAACTCCGCACCGGTTTCTTGCCTGGGTGAAAAACAGCCGCACCGCGAGCGGCAGGTTTTGCAATGTCTTGTCACAGAACGCTGCAACTTCGTCCCAGACATCAGGCTCGAGGTCAAGCCCAACCCGCTTGGCAAGCACCTTGGCCTCATCACGGGTGAGCGGCTCCAGCCGCACAATGTCAACGGCCGCTTCGGCCCAGACCGACTCGTCCGCAAGCGATGTACCCACCACTACACCGCCGGGCACACCAGCAAACTTGCCGCAGATCTCATTCCACACACTGCAGGCCAAGACATCGTCAACAACGAGGACCCACACCGTCTCATCGCGACGGCAGAACTTCACCAGGCTCTCCACATACTCGCCGTCGTCTACAACGTCTGCTGCCACACCAAGTGCGGCGCGCTGCTCACGAGCAATCGCCGCAAGCTCATCGAGTGCTTCGTGAACCATCCGCCCCTGCACACGCATGTGCAGCACCCACTTTCCCTTCTCCGCCAACACGCGCCCATTGCGGTGATGTTGTCGCAGCGCCTCAACGACCGTCGTTGTCTTGCCCATTCCTGTCTCGCCGCACACCATGAATGCTTGAACCGGCCCGCGGCCATCAGAAGCGGCGGCGGCCTCGAAAGCGTCTGTGAGCTGCTTCACCTTGTCGTGCCGACCAACGTACTTTGCGTCCACGCCAGCGATCTCGCGCCGCAAAAATCCGAACGGCACCGTAGTCCTCATCGCCATAACGCGGGCAATCACCTTGCCAGATCTAGCAAACACATCCCGAGCCACCTCGCAGTCCATGGCCTGCAGAAAAGTCGCCAGCCTCGCAAACTTCGTCGGGAGTTCGTCGTCATTGAGCGCCACACAAGCCGCCTGGATGCGATCTCGTCCAAACAACGCGCGCTCGCGCTTCGGCACCAATGCAAGCAGCTCCTTCTCACACGAGCAGGTGGCCGGCTCAACGATCGCTGAGCGCACGGGTGCATGGCAGACACAGACGTCGAGCGAGTCTATCCAGCTTAGCACAGTCTCGCCCAATTCGTCATCCGACATCTCAGTCGACACGCCCACCAGCTGAAGCATGCTCTCGAGATCAGCTCTGGCTTTGTCGGTCTTGCTCTTGTTCGCCAGCTCGTGGATTTTGGCCGCAATCTCAGTCAAGCTGCGCAAACGGTACGTCTTGCGCTCTTTGGCGACTGCGACGCGCAGCACGCGGAGCTGGGTGAGCATGGTGTCTCTGGCTGCGCCGTCTGACAACTGCGGTATCTTGCCATGCCAGACGCAAACGAGACATCCGCCCAGGGCGTGCTGTGCCGCGTCGATGTTCGTTGGGAGTGGTGTTGCCTTCACCACAGGGCACTTGATGACGACAGGCTGAAAGCTTGACCCGAGCTGCTCCAACACCGCCTCAATGCGCTCCTCCACGCATCCACCTACAGAGTCGCGCAGCACGCTCGTGAGCTGGTCCATCTCGTTCGCGACACTTGCGGCGCATGCGCCAACATGCGATGCACGGTCGTCGGAAAGGTATGTCCTGGTTGCCAGCGCGTCGAGTACCCGCTTCAGCGCACCCAGACGGTTGAGGACGACCCATCCCGTTGCGTCAGCACTACCGTGCGCCATGTTATGGCGCTGCTTGACGAGTGCCATTAGATCAATGGTTAGATCGCCCATGCCGTTGCCACATGCCGAGTCGCCAATGGTACATTTGTCGAGGTGATTCTTGAGCGAGGCCACATCGTGGCAGCACCATGCGACCGTCTCGGCGCACGCGGTGCACCCTTCCTTGCCCAAGTGAGTAGTCAAGGCATCCTTGCTCGCTCGTTCGCTGTTACTCAGCTGCGCCTCGGTATCGAAAGGAAAGTCTCGGCACTTGAGCACCATCATTTTGCAGTCAAAGCAGCAGAGCACATGCGCCTCGTCAGGTTTGGTGATTCGGCAATCATGGAGTACAGAACGGAACGCGTTGAATAGCTCCGCAAAGCCACGGCGCATCACCACATACGCGTACTCGACATCGGACAGAGTCACCTCATCCGCTTGGTCCTTCACCCACTCTAGCGCGTCGATTTCAGACGGCCTGGCGACCAGTCCGGCGCACACCTGCGCCAGCACGCCGGTCACGTCGGCCAGCGGTGTTGGGGCATACTTCTCTTCGACACCACGCACTGCTTCAAGCACAGATTCCAGCCGGAAAGGCGATATGGTGCGCAGTATATGCTTCAGCGCGTTGACGGCGCGCTCGGCCTCACCTAGGCGCAGTGAGCCGTGGGAGATCCAGTTGCGCGAGTAGAAGATGGTGTCGACAGCCTTGTGCAGGTGCGCGGCGTTTTCAGACTCGGGCAACCAGCCGAGTACGGCCAGTACGAGCTTGAACTGCTTGCGAAGGAGAAAAGTCGCCGAGTATACATCAAGCACATCGTCGACCGTCTTCAAGTGCACGCTCATGGTCCGTGTCAGCGTCGTCTTCAGCGCTTGGAACCAGGTCCGGTCGGCCACCGGCGAGAAACCCGCTGCAAATACACCCTTCACAAAGTCAGAGAGCAAAGGCTCCGCACGTGACGTCACAGCTGAGTACATGCAGAACGCGTGATCTGTCCTGTTCAGGGTGACCATGTGTGCTGCCATGATGGAGTCGGGTGTTCTGTGCTGCACTGGGCACAGGCGTGAGACAGCCGCTGGTGGAAACTGGAGAAGCCGAAAAAATTCTGAGAAAGAAGCCGTTTCGAGCCTTCCACCGGCCAAGCTACCGGGCTCTTGCTGGCCGTGTGGAAGAGGGTGGAAGGTCATCACAGCTACATGTAGGGTTGTTCACGAGCATGTTGCAGCTTTGCTGGCTGTAATGCGGTTGAATCGGGCCAACCTGTATGCTCATCCCAGATACGAGCGCGCACGCGAGAGCATGAGATCACGCAAGACAAAGGCGATCATCGCGATGGGGAAGTGATGGGGGTAGCTGGCCGATATGCCAGCGCCCGTCCCGATCGACCTGGAGTATCTCGCCGATGATCGGATCACGCGCCAACGGCCCCGTGTCCTTTGCCACCCTCGCTGACAGCAGCGACATCTCGCTCACGACACCATTGCTGGGCGGCAAGAGATCTCGTGCATCTCGCCCCCTGGCCAACCTGGCCGTGTCGACGTTGACCCTCCTCCCCGCCGATGGCATCGCCTCTGCCTCCCGCTCGGTCACGCTCACCTTTGTGTAGCAACGTGTGCATCGCCCACATAGGCCGGCAGTCGGGCAACGTGTCATGTCGTGTTGATGACGTCGTGTGACGTACTCGAATTGGCGGGCAAAGTGTCACACACACACGGCGACAGACTCGACGCACAGGCAAGGGCAAAGACAAGACAGACTCGACTTCGCGACAAGAGAAGCAGACAAGCCCATCCACAACCACTCTAACTCGGACATTGTGACTACATGCCGACGTATGAGGTGCCACGCGTGACTGGCGGGACAGAAGAGGTGGAGACGTACTCGCGGCTGGTCGGGTTTGGGACCATGATCAACTACATCATTGGCACAGGCGTCTTCTCCATTCCCTTTGCCTACTACAAGGCCGGCTGGCGACTGACCACCATCTGCGTCATCATCTTTGCCTTTCTCGCACTCGTCTGTGTCTTCTACGTCGTCGAGGTCCTTGCCCGCGCAGAGGGCGTCCTCGCCCTCACAGACTCGGGCAAGCCGCTTCTCACCGAGTCATCATCACTCGTCAACTCGGGCCCGCACGCTCACCCGCACGCCGCCAGAGGCGATGCAGAAGCCGACGAGTACTCCTCAGCCAAGGCAGGCTCTGTTGCCGGCCGTGGGCGAACCGAGTCGACGCTCGATGCCGCAGGCACCGCCTCCGAGGCCGATGCCGCTGGCTATCCCCGCAACCGCATCGGGTATCGAAGGTTCGATTTCGTGGCGGCCTCGCGCCTGTTTGGCGGCGTCCGCATGCAGGTTTTCACTCAGGTGGTCATGGCGCTGTACTGCTACGGTGTGCTCTGGTCGTTTGTTGCCGTCTTTGCCTCGTCGGCCGACACGCTCTTCTTCAAGTACGCGCTCTCCAAGGACTGCTCCATCTACGATGACCCGAGCCACTCGTGCCAGACCGGGTACTACCTCTGGGTCACCGCCTTTGGCATCTTTGTCGTCATCGTCTCGACCCGCGACGTCGCGGAGCAAAAGTGGCTGCAGATGATCATGACCGTCTACCGGTTTTGCGCCTTTTGCGTCCTCGTCATCAGCGCAGGCGTGGCGCTCAAGTACCCGAACACTTTTGATCCCGAGTCGTCATCGACATCGGCGCCATACATCTCGCACGCCACCGAGCATGTCAAGTGGTCCGGCTTTGGCACCGCCTTTACCTTTTCGGCCGTTGCCCTCAACGTCCACTACAACATGCCCAACGTCATCCAGCCCATCACGCCCAAGCGCTCGCTTCTCGGCCTCACCGCCGCCGGCATCTCCGTCGCCGCCTTTTGCTACCTCCTCATCGGCGCGCTCTGCGGCATGGCCTTTGGCTCGGGCGTCACCCCGCTCATCACCCTCAACTGGAACTCGTACACCGGCCGCGCTGGCGGCTGGGGCGAGGGCCACACCCTCTGGTGGGCGTACATTGTCAAGCTCTCGGTCATGCTCTTCCCCACCCTGGACATGCTCACCGTCTACCCGCTCATCTGCGTCACCCTCGGCGACAACCTCTTCCACTCGGCGCCCAACGCGCTCATCGCCTCCTTCCGCGGCCTCACCGGCGCCTCCGACCGCCTCTGCCAGCTGCTCTTCCGCTTCATCGCCGCCATCCCCCGCTCGGCCTCGGCCTCTACACCGGCAACCTCAACGAGATCTTCACCATCACCGGCCTCTTTGCTTTCTTCCTCGAGCTCATCATCCCGCCCATGCTGCTCATCCTCTCCCACAACTACATGGTCTCGCGCTGGGGCAAGGGCTCGCAGGTCACGCCGTACTCGACCATCTTCTCCGGCCGCTCCGTCGCCTACGCCGTCCTCACCATTGGCCTCCTCGCCTTTGCCTTTGCCACGTATGTCACCATCTTCCCCGACCAGGCCGCCGAGCTGTAAACGACATTGTATCCCTGCTCTCACAGCCGCGAGTAATGCCGCAGCCGGATCGAGCCGCCGCCGCCGCTTGGCATCGGCCGGCCGTGCAGCGCCGGCTTCGTCCACGCCACCACCGCCAGCTCGGGCTCGACGAGCATCGCCATCGGCGCGCCCACCAGCGACGACACGTCCATCACAATCCCGCCCAGCTCCGAGTACACATACCGCTGCCGCTGGAAGAGCGATCGCGAGAGGACCGAGACCATCTCCTCTTCCAACGCCCTCATGTACTCGCGCAGAGCGGCCAGGTCCTCGCTATCGTCGAGCCCAGCCTCACGCGCCGCCGTTACAACATCCGGCGCTATCACAAAGGCCTCGGCCACATCCACCGGCGTCGGTGCCTCCATCGCCATGACACGCATCATCTCCTCCACCATCAGCGCATGCAGCGCCGCCGACACCGCCTCGGCCACTTTCAGCCGGCCTCCCTCCATCTCGTACTCAAACGCCAGCGCTTGCTGCCTCAGTCCACACAGAAGGCTCGCTCACCAGGAATACTATCGGCCTGGTGTGGGTGAGTTGGAGTGTAGAGGTGTGGGGGTGGAAGGGGCGAGGTGGGAAGGGGGGGGAGGGAGGGGAGAGGGGGGAGAGGGGGGAGGGGGGGGGGGGGGGGGGGGGGGGGACCGGGAAGAGTTGCCGCCATTGTAACAGCAGACAAGATCCCGACTGCAACTATCACATACCACCCCTTCCCCTTGCTCCGATGGCAAGG